GTGAACACAAATTAGTTACCATAAATCAGTTAAATGACGAAAAATTAGGTGTCTATTTACTTGTGACCACTCAGTGTACATTGATACTTTGAGAAATTTCAGTGTGTCATTGGAATGTAGATTTCACAAATCACCACAATACTGGAAACTGAACTTTTTCACTTGTTATAGAAGAGGTTGACTAGCATTTCTTTCTTCTTTTTTGATTTAATGGCTACTTTAACCAGAGAATGATGCAGTCCAACTTTTTTGTGATTGCTAAATTTTGTATTAACTGTCCACTTATTTTCGACATAGAAGATATCCTGTAGAACAACATTGAGGAAGAGGAAACATAGAAGAAGCAGAGTGGCTCCTGACTCTTTTTTTCCCAGCTCTCTTGGAGTTATACAGGCACTAAGTAAACTTCCTGCTTTTTGACTCCAATGAATTACATATAGGTGCTTCTTCTTCCCAGCCGAAGAAGTCAAAGACTTTGATTGAAACAGGATCTAGTCAGAGAAAAGGGTGAAAATTCCTTGGCTGCCAAAGACCAGGCATGATGTTGCATCTCTGGTACATTGGCATAAGTACAAGATTTGGCCCCAAGCCCTAATAGGAATGTAGTTTGAAAAAGCAAATAAAACCTCCTTACTGAGCTACTAATCAGGATAAGCTTCCACGTGGTTCAGATTAAGATACCCTCTTTACAAAGAAAATCAAATTAGTTAAGAAGTGCAGAAGCACCAGAAGGGAATCAACATTTCATACTCTAGCTAAAGTTATTCTTCCCACTTTTATGTCATCCTTAGCTTACCAACCAGGGACACAGAAGCTTCCAATAAAGTCTCAAAAATGGACATATGTAAAAACACTGCATTTTGCAGCAGGTCTTTGCCCTTTCAAACCCAAAGATGGTCTCTCTGAAGTCACCGTAACAGCTCACTCTAACCACAGTCTTTATAAAACTGGCCAAAAGTATCCCTGCTCCATGCTTTTGAAGGTCTTGGTGATGTAGAACACAATAATACTATCCAATTAAACAATATATATAGCCTCCATAACTGTACCATGCAACAGAAACTAACAACTGAGATTAAACTTATCACATGATTTCTGCCAGGTTTAGTATGTAGCAAATGCAAAAAATTTCAATCTTATGTAGATACAATTTATATACCATGGGAGAATATGATGTGTAGTATTTACATACTACAACCCCCTTACTCAAATTAATTTAGTGTTAGCACAAATTTACAATTTTAATGAGGAAGAACCCGTTTTTAGAAAATAATTGTTGGAGATGGTTTGAAAGATACTTTATTACAAGTAACAAATGTACAATGTTTCGACAAGTTTTTCGTCCTCATCAGAGATTGCTTAATAGCTTAGTAAAGGTACTGTTTATGTGACTTCTTTGTTACTCACTGTATATATGCATATTTCTGTGTTTATATAAACTACTTGTACCTGATGATGACAAAAACTTGTCAAAACATTGTACATTTGTTACTTGTAATAAAGTTTCTTACATTACCCATTTTAAACTGTCTCCAAACTTAATTTATGATATGATTCCAACCCTTGGTTGGGGTGGATGCAAATGTTACATAGGAACACATACACAATGCCCATGGATAGGGTAAACATCAGTCTAACATGCATTGCTAACTAAACAGTGAAACATACAAAATTTAAACTAAAACCAATTGTATGATATACAAAATAAAAATCCATTATAAAGAACCAAATTTAGATGAATTCATTTTAAATTCAAGCAAAATAATACAATACAAAATAACATGATGGTTAAATAATCTTTTCAAAGAAATACTAGAATTACACTAAAAATGTATGTACATACATACATACATACACTTGCAAATGTTAACACACACATTGGAAAAACTTGGTAAATTACATAAACCCCTAACATTATTCAATGTTAAAATGAATAGATAAATACTAAGGACACAAAAACACTTGCTGATTGTCTGAGGTATAAAAAGAAAACCTAAATATAAAACCAAGCCATAATAAAAAATCAAGGCAAACAACTCAAAATTGAATAACAGTATTATAATGAAAAAAATTATTATAAAATGTAAAATTCATTATAATAATGTGCTAAAATACAGAATACAGAAATACATTAAGGTTTATACAGATAAAAAGTCCATTAGCCAAACATAGTAAAAACAATTACATGAAAAAAACTCCATATTTACAAATCCAGTCAGTGGAAAAATATAAATAAAAATGGTTTTTAGTAAGAGATAAAAAATTATATGAAATACATAAACTCTTTATCAATATTTATGTACTAATGAATAGAGAAATCACAGTCATAAACATAAATCAGATGGATGTAGTATGGAAAAGTGGATATGAAACAGAGGGAGCCTTGTGGTAAAATATGAATATGAAATTTAAACAACTAAACCATTTTGGATAGAAATTATAAAATAAATCCATTTGGAAATAGTATTTAAAAAGCTATATACCTAAAAATCTTAATTATATATTGACATTTAATTAGTATGTCAGAAATCAAAGCTTGACCCTAACTGAGAGGATGAGAGTAAAAATTCAGAACATGTAATATAAATTTTTGGAACAGCACAAGAAGAGGTAGACAGTGTTTCTAAAAGTATGAAATCATCCAAAAACAAGTACAATGTTGCAAGCAAATTAGAACATATTTAATTTAAAAGAGGATTGAATCATTAAATGTGAGAAGATATTCTTTGATTAATAAATTAAATGGTTCAGTTTCAGTATTTGCAGCCCCCTTATGGCACAAGTTACTGAAGGACCTTCCTGATTACTCTAGTGATGATACTACCAAATCAAGTTCCAGAATTTAGCTGGTCAATTAAGAAATCAACAGAACTATAATTGGAAGGTAACAAGAGAGTCATATCAGGTTCATTTTGGAAGTTTTTCCATAGTGAATGGGTGGAATAGTGAACAACAAGCCACCCGTCTAAAAGGAATATCTTTTACAACATTAAGTAACTTTCCAGCTGAAATCTGTACATTGGTATCCAATAGGTACAGGGTTTCACACTAGAAAAAGTATCCAGAGCAAACTTCCACAACAGTATATGCAGGAAAGAAGAGACCTTAGCCAAACTTGTGGAAAGGCTCATCCAGCTATCTTATTCTTTTGCTACTCATGAAATGATAGATTCATTGGCCATGACCAACTTATAGTTGCTATAATAGATGAGGATATATGAATTAGGCTGAAGCTGAGTATGTATACATCCTTAAAGGAAGGTCTGCAGTTGGTGATTGAA